TCACAGTGTTTTCTCCATTCGGATTCTGCACTTGCAAAGAGGTGGCAGTGAAGTTGTTCCAAAAATCAGCGAGTAAGTTTCGTGCTTTCTGGGATTTGGGGGGGCTCTCAGTGGATTCAACTTTCCTGTCTCTTCTATTGAGGACCTAGGGTATGGGAAATATCTTGATAAAGGTCTTGTTGAAAGGAAAGAAGTAAACATTCCCAACCTTAAGTCTGGGAACTGACAGGAGTTTGAGGACTACTGCAAAACACAGCTTGAGGTAGTTCTCAGCCTTTCTGAATGAAGGTAAATGTGAGTAACCCTACCCTTATAGCAGGAACATGCCTGTTCCTGGGATGTAGCTACCTGGAAATGGGTTGTCTCAGAACATGTTTCATAGACTGGCAAAGGATCTTTGAACTTGACACCACAAAGCTTGCTATTGTGTTACCTTGTGTAACACCTACACTAAGGGTAGGCCCTTCCATCCAGCAACAGCCCAGGCACCCCAAAGGAATGTTCCGTGCCCTTGTGAGGAAGCTGGGAAGGTGATTGCAGAGTGTCTGAACTGTAAACCTGGAGAGAACAGGACAAACTCAGCAGATTATGTGAAAATCACTGTGTTTCCTCCAGGTTATCCCTGTGTGACCTGGCGGGGTCTGAGCGCTGCAAGGACCAGAAGAGCGGGGACCGAATGAAAGAAGCCAACAACATCAACACCTCCCTACACACGCTGGGCCGCTGCATTGCCGCCCTCCGCCAGAACCAGCAGTCCAGGTGAGCATCCAGAGCTCCAGAGGGAGGGTGTGGTGAGGCTGGTTTGCTTTCCCAGCTCACCCCCAGTCTCTCCCAACAGGACAAAGCAGATGGTGGTTCCATTTCGGGACAGCAAGTTGACCCGTGTGTTCCAGGGGTTCTTCACCGGGCGCGGGCGCTCCTGCATGATTGTCAACATCAACCAGTGTGCGTCCACTTATGATGAGACTCTGTATGTAGCCAAGTTCTCAGCCATTGCCAGCCAGGTGAGTAGCGCACACCAGGATCACAGCATGGTCAGGGTACATCCTGCTTCTGTGGTAATGGGCCCTTTTCCACAAGAAGAGGGAGGCACAAGTCCTTCCTATGCTTCTCCAGTGGGTTATTTTACTCTGGAGTATTCCAGATTCTGCTAAACTTACAGTTTAGCAGAATCTAGCTTACAGAATCTTAGAGTTACAGGTTGCAGAGAAGGGCTGTGTTTAAAGATTTACACAACTTTCAGGCTTTGCACACAGCAATGATGGTCTTTTCCTCTTCAGCTTGTTCAGGCGCCTCCCACAAAGCTGGGACTTCCATCCCTACAATCCATCATCAAAGAGCACAGTAGGAGAACCAGCCAGCAGGCAGAGGCAAAGGAAGAAGTGGACTCAGAAGAAGATGAAGACACTGAGGATGAGGCAGATGTCTCCATGTATGAGAAGAAGGTGAGTTGTGATTTGGTTTACAGCCTTTATGGACGGAAGGGCAAGAACATGACTGTTAGTTTGGCCTAGGAGGTGGGATTGCAGCTTGGCAATATGCCAAGAGAGGTGACAGAGAACCTCAGAAGGTTATAGGACCTAGGAAATTGGGAATCTATGACAAAAATATTTCATAGTTGGTCTAAACCTGACACACACGCATAATTTGGAAACACTGTCATCTGTGGAATAGTGACAGTAAGAGTGGGGGTGCAAACCTTAAATCTAGAGATCAGAAAACATGCAGAACAGGTGGCTAAAATGAGGAAAAACAATCAGCTTCCTAGATACTCAGGCAGCTGGGAGAGATGGAAGTCACACACCTACAAGAGACTTGAGCTGTCATGTGTCAAGGTAGCAAATCCTGGCAACTTCTCTTTCCAAGTGACTAAAATAATCTTAAATCTAGATCACTGCAACCCGCAGACACAGGATCACTTAGTTAATTCCAGGTTTTAACTCTGTCGTGCAGTGTGGGCAGTGGAGCTGTGTCCTTCTTGCAGGACTTGCTGCGTGCAGCAGAAGCTGCACGAGAGCTGCTGGTGCAGGAGCGGCTGAAGAAGCTGCAGCTCGAGATGCGCCTGCGCGAGGAGATCTGCAATGAGATGATGGAGTACATGCAACAGAAGGAACAGTGGTGGAGGTACAGCCTGTGCTGATCCCCCTCCCTCTGCTCAGGCGCAGCTGCAGCACCCAGAACTACCACACCCTGACATGGAGTTGTTTGTTCTCTTTGTAGCCAACATGTGGATGCTCAGAGGGAGCAGCTGGAGGAACTGTATGAGGAAAAACTGACTATCCTGAAGGAGTTATTGACCGACCATTACCAGGAGAAGGTCCAGGTTTGTTCAGGGCAATGAAATAACATCAGGAAAATGGCAGTGGGTTGGGAGAGGACTCAGGGTACTTGAGTCTAGGACAATGTTTATGCAAATTGAAAGATGTTGCTTTCTAAGGTATTTTTTTGTGATATTTGATTGCTGGATCCACAATTTTTGCTTCTTGTCTCTTCCTTTACATAGTTCACTAGGCTTCCTAATTTTCAACAACTTAGTCTGGAAGCTGATGTGCAATCATCCTGACTCTTCCATGTATTCAACATGATTTTCTCCCCACCTTACTCTTTTCACTAGAGGCTTGCTTTGCACTCTTCAGGTTCACATCAGTTGTGTGAATTTCTCTTCTTGCTCTTAGTTGTGATGATGGGTATAGGCCTCTCTGTTTTTCATGCTATGGCATTTGGGTGGCCTCTGGGACTTGTTGCAGACCTCTTGGAAGATGCCAACTTTCAAAAAAATCCCCTTTCTTTAGAGGCTGTAAAAAAGTTGTTCAGGCTCCCAGGAAGTGAGTTTACTGTGCTCACTTAAAGGCTGGGTCCAACGTGTGAAGTGTGGGATTGAGAAACTCTCCAGGAAGACACAGAAAGTTTCAGAAAAGTTGTGGTAAGAAAATCTTGTTAAATATTTGAACAAATTTCCTTTCTAAGGAGCGTGATGACGAGATTTTGGAGCTCCAAGCTACTCTGCGGGAGACCAAAGAAAAACTGGAAAGTCTGGATACCAAGGAAAAGGACACGGAGCAAGGCTTACGTCGATCCAAACGAGTGGCCTCCTCCTCATCTGCTGTGCAGAAGGAGCTGGCAGATACCAAAGCCAGACTGGAGCAGTGTCAAAGGGAGTTACAAACCACGACTGCAGGTATGGCAGCGATGTTGCACTGGTTCTGAACTGTGCCTGAGAGATCCTTGTACAAGGTTAGAGAGACTTTCTTCAGAGTACATTGGATTCAGACACCCTGAAACCATTATTCTGAGTTGTAGATAATAGGAATTTTGTGCTGGATGGGCAGTGTTTCTCTTCATTTTCACATGAAAATGGACTTTAAGGCAGGATAATCCCCCTGTTCAAATTCTCGAGTCCCTTTGTGTAACCGAAAGGGAGAAGCCTGGAATGTTTGTGCAGGTCTGTACAAACTCAAAGCTCTTCTTGGCTTGCCTGTAGCAGCTTGTCTCAAGGCAAGTCCTGAACTTCAGGAATACTAAAAGCTGATAAACGTCCTGTTGCTCACTACTTTTTGTCTGTTCCTAGAGTTGCACAGGTACCAGAAATTAGTGGAGCCACCTCCCTCTGCCAGACCCATTACTATGGACGTAGATAGGAAGCTGGAGGATGGACAGAAGGTAACTCCAACTGTGTTACAGAAAGAACACTTGCAGGGCAAGGTGGTTGCCAGTATAAAAATGTTTGGGGCTGCTGTTTCCAGGTTTTTAAATAGATGGTTGAAGTTGAAATGGGCTTCTTGAATTTACTGGAGATGTTGATAGTTGTGGTATCTGTGATCTCAGTGTATCTCACGCAGATGGCATCCCCCCTCAGTGCTGCATGTCTGAATTACCTTGGAGTGGCTTTGTTTGCAGAGCATTGCCAAAACCACCTGTTTTGAATCTCTTTCCTGCAGAATGTCAGGTTGCTGCGTTCAGAGTTACAAAAGATTGGGGAGTCTCTCCAGTCTGCAGAGCGAGCGTGCTGCCACAGCACAGGAGCAGGGAAGCTCCGAGAAGCCCTCTGCACGTGTGATGACATTCTGGCCAGACAGGTAATGTGTCTGTTTTGTTGGGGGTTGCACGAAGGGGGGTGTTTAGACAGAGTAACCTCAGTTCTATGCTGCAAAAAAAAATTACTTATTTGCTAGTGCATACTATTACATGAAGGAACTAGTGAGTGAATTTTTGCAACGGGCAGTTTATCCTCCTCAGTTCATAGTAACCAGGGAGTTAGACAACTTGTCACAGTACCTGAAGGGAGTCTACAAGACAGATGGAGAGGGACTTTTTACAAGAGCATGGAGTGGCAGGACAAGGGGGAATGGCTTCAAACTGACAGAGATTAGGTTTGGAGCAGATATTAGCAAAAAATTCTTTACCTGTGAGGGTGTTGAGGCCCTGGCACAGGTTGCCCAGAGTTTTGTGGATGCTCCACCCCTGCAAGTGTTTAAGACCAGGATGGACCGGGTTTGTAGGAACCTGATCCAGTAAAAAGAGTCCCTGTCCACAGCAGAGGGGTTGGAATGAGATGATCTTTAAGATCGCTACCAACCCAGATCTATGATTCTATGATATCTATATTTTTTATATAAATATAAAAATATATATATATATATATATTGCCTTCCCTCCATCAGGACCAAACCCTGGCAGAACTGCAGAACAACATGATGCTGGTCAAGCTGGACCTGCGGAAGAAGGCGGCCTGCATTGCCGAGCAGTACCACACGGTGCAGAAGCTCCAGGCTCCTCCAACATCCACCCTCAAGAAACGCTTCTGTGCCAACAGGGAAAACCTACAACCTAATCAGCCCCCTGGTAAAAAGCCCTTCCTGCACAACCTCCTGACACGTTCAGCCACCCGTCCTGCTGCTGCCAGAGGGTGGCAACTTCGTTCAGTCGCTCTATGACTTTTCAGAAAGAGATCCCTGCCCTTCTGTTACTGGAACAGGTGGCAAATCCAATATAATGGTATCTGGTTTTCATTGTGCGCTTGTTTATTGTTATTGTAGCTGCTTGAGAGCTTATGTAAACATTTCTGGGTATGTATCGATAAACTTTTAATCAATACCAAAGTGGACAAAGTGACCTTTTGTAATTTAAACACTACACTGAGGAAAGTCCTTAACTATAAAATAACGCAGACGATCAAACTTGTTTAACAAACAGACAAGTTAAAGGTGAGTTGTCATCTTCAACTATGTTGGCACACAATTCGAAAATAAGTTCACAAGTTCCTCCTTGAAAGATATTTTGCCTTCCTTGAATTATAATCCTTTATTAAAGTATACACGTTCTAGGCCGGGGCTGCTCTCTCGGATCTGGGCTTGCAATTCTGGCTCCAAGCGCGATACGGACATAGAACTGAGCAAAAGAAACGGGAAAATGGTTACATAAAACAAGCACTTGAGGGTAAAATAAGATGGACGATGCATCTGGTTAAACTTCCTGGACTGTGAAAGAGTTTTCAGATATTTTTATATGTCTTATAAAGGAAGCAAACCAGACCCAGGGCAAATGAATCCCTGCTCAAACAGCAGTAAGACAGTCTACAGAGTCAGGAAATGGTGTTAGGATCCACTTGCTCAAGATTGTTGCTGGCAATAGAAACTTACCTTCCTAAAGGTGTTTTTGTTAAATATAATGTATTTGCCTATTTAACTTACTACCTGCTTTTATTCAGTAGAATAAAAGGTTTATTTTTATGAGAGCCAGTTCACAGTAAAGTGAATTAAGCTGCCAGGTCATTTGAACAGCTGCAATTTCCTGAACACAGTTCAAGGTCTTCCTCTGAACTGGAGGGCCCTGGCTAAAATCAAGACCTGTACCACGTGTGCTAGGCTGGTTTGTCAAGTCATCTCCAGGTAGCCTAGTGACACTTGTTTACCACAGCTCTCTGTCCTAGGCCAAGCAGGGAAACAGATGGTGTCAGATGGCTTTGTTGTACTCAAACAATTGCATCTGATGAGAACTGGGTATTGTTTTCTGGAAGTCAAAGCTACCTTAGTTGTTCAGTGTTTTTTTTTTTTTTTTTTTTTTTTAAGGGATTCAGCTCCAGCTTGCATTGTTTAAGCTACCTATGGCAACCTGTTTAGACAACCATTATTAATATGAGGGACAGCTCAGTTGAATTTAAGGCCCTGTCCACACTACATACCAAATTGAGCTAAGTTCGTTTGTAAATAACTCATTCAGGCTTCATAATTATTTCAGCTAGAAACAATTTTCACTATAAGACAATTTTCAATACTGAGCTATTTTTGTATTGATGAAAAAGTCTTTCTCAAGAAATATTAATCAAATTACAAATAAGCACAGATAGTCCAATGCTGTTCTGTATAACTAGAAGAGTTCCTAGCTGAAAATAAAATGGGCTCTGACTGTATTTAATGCATCTGTAACCTTCCTGGACAGAAATATATTGTATAAATCTCATCTTGAGCTGCTAGGAGTTTGTAAACAACTATTATATATTACTGATGAGTAACATAGGTATTACTTTTCTGTATATTCTCTTGTTTATCACCTTTGTTATATGGGAAATAAAACTGTGTGCTTGACCAGGCAATGACCACTCGTTTCTGTCTGTGCATGGATCTGGAGCGTAACATTAAAGTGAGAATAATAACAGCAGTACCCACCTTTTCTGAGGAAACAGTGCACAACATAGGGGAGTTGCAAACACGAGACTAGAGGAGACAAAAACGGGATTACAATAGTTAGGGTGCTAAAAGAGACTTCACAGCAAATTAAAGTCTCTATTAACCAAATGTTTCAAGAATTCATCAGCCTCCAGGATTAGACTCCACTGACTTTATGTAGGGAGCAGCCAAATCAAGCTGCCACATGCCTTTTTTTGCCACTCCTTTTCCTCCTCCCTCTGCTTTCCTTGGCAACTTCTTCCTTGCTAATCCCTTTTTTGTTTTTAACATGGTATTATCAGTTACAGAGATGGAAGTGAAGTTACTGCTGCAGCCTCATTAACCCTCTCAACCTTTTTTTCTTTGAACAAAGGGCATATATTGCTACTTTCTCAAAAAACCTACAAGTATCTCTTAAAACAGCAGACCCAACCCAAAGAAATCACTTACCAGACTCCAACTAATCCAACTTGAATGGGAGCACTCAGCCAAGGATATCTCTGTTGAAAATAAACACAAGTGAGTATGCTATCTTATCTTCTCCCTTCCCCTCTTCTGGAATTCTTGTTTTCTAAGAGATAGACTGCACCTAAAAGACCCTGGGACATGAAGGGAAACCCACAGCCAGTGTACCTTAAAGCTAAGCTCCAGTTTGAGAGCCAAATCCCTTTGAAAAGAAGTAACAAAATTCCCAGTAAAAACAACATACATTCTGATCCTGAGTATGTGCCCCTTAGAAACTCCAACAGGTCATTGCTTTAGGATGTGATCCTGAGCCCCTGGGCCTTCTCTTTGAGTCACACAAGCCCACAGTGGCAGGACATCTGAAATTTGGCATGGTGCTACCACATCTCTGAAGAGCTCAGTGAATTTTGCCCAGGCATTCCAAGGAAGAGCTTGGTCTGGTTACGGCTCCTTTGGTGACATCAGATGGTTCTAATGTGCAACTGGAACCACCAGCCATAAACAAGGGAGATATCAAGGAAAAGGTAAGTCTGCCTCTCTTAGTCTTTTGTCCTGTCATATGATTTCCCTTGATGTGTAGGAACTTGTCCCTGTAGCAACACTCCAGTTCTGAAAGAGTTCACCTTTCATTGAAAGAAAAAAGGGCTGAATGATCGGCAAAACATAGCTGAGAAAGCAACTAACAACCTATGGATGCATTTTTAGTATAATCTTCATTACTGTAACTTTTGCAGAACTTGAATATATGCCAAGAAATATAGCTTTTTTTGCAGGCTTTTAAAATCCACTCCCCCACATGTTAGAATTTTAGTTGAAACTCATTACTAGTGAAGCAAACCCAGACCTGTTCAATGGACACTGCTGGGATGCCCAAAGCAGTGTCTCAAAAGCAGGACATAACACAGCTGCCATGAAAACACAAAGGGGATTTTAAAACAAAACAGTTCATGAGTTAAAAATCACATGATGCAGTGGACGATGTTTTCAATGAAGATGTTTGTTTCTGCAAGAAGCATTTCTCAAGATACAGAAGTTAGAGGGGAAGCTGGTGAACAAAAGCTGGGCACTAGTTGAGAGTAGAAATGGACAAAGGAAATGTAGAAAGCTCAGGGGGACAAAGCTGCGGGCTGAGGAAGGTCACAGCAGCTGAGGAGGCAGAGAAAACAAGCCTGTTTGGAGTAAACTTTCTCCATGGCCTGAGGGAGAAGAAATGATGTAGAAGACTGCTTCTCTTTTATTTTTTTTTTTCCTGGAGTCAATCTGTAATCCAGAAATGAGTGTGGGAAGAACTGTGCAATTCAGCAACAACCTGCAAGAGATAACAAATGGGAACAGGGAGAGCAGGAAGGGTAAAGAGTGAAGGCAGCAGAGCTTTGCTGTTCTGGCATTCCCTAAACACCTTCATTTGACTCTCAGCTGAGATAATTCACCCAAAATTCTTTACATTTTATATACCAGGAGAGTCCATGACAAGAGATGTGAACACAAAGTCATTTGTCTACTGCACATGACTTCTGTCTCCGAGAAGGAAAGGAGAGGGATGCTACACATTGCAGTGGGAATGTGGGACCTAAAGTACATTAACAGAAAAGCCCCAAATATAATTTTATAACTGAAAAGGCTGTTGGAAGGTACCACGAGAGGAACAGACGGCTTCATGCCTTTGTCAGAGTCGGTCATTGATCTGAAAGAGGTGTTGTCTAGTACAGACTCTATAAACAACATCTAGTTCATGTGCTGGAACAGTTTTTGCCAACTTGATCTGAGTAACAGCCTTGCTTTTTCCAGAACGTTACCAGACTGCACTAATCAAGAAAGATGGTGAGGAAAAACTCTTTAACACTGTGAGATCAATATTAAGAACTGGACTTGCCCAGGAAACAAAGCAATAAAACAAAACTCAAATGCAGGCTGCACACCTCTACAAAGAGATAAAATGGAGAAGCACACGACAGCAGAAGAACTGACTGTGTTAGAGAACTACCCTTTAACTCCAGAAGAAGGCAGCTCCCAATGAATTAGGATCTGATTTCCAGATGTCTTTATGACACTTTAGTGGTTAGTGTAAACAGAGAAAACGGATAAATGATAATTAAGCAAACAAAAGCCTTAAGGAGAATCATCTTTTTTCTGTTTCCTTTCATTGTTGGATCTAAATATCTGCCAGCTTTCCCAGGCCAGCTCTGCCTGTTTTCAAAAAAATAAATAAATGAAATGACAGTGAAATTAGGAATGTATGGAAGACTGCAGGGCATAAAACAGTCAAGAACAATGCTTGAAAAAAAAGCTCTCTGTTCTGGTTTTGTAACAGTTTTGAATACAGATTTCAGCTGCAGACTAAGAGACCCCAAAGAACTTGTTTTAAAGATATATGAGGAAATTTCTGGAAAAACTTGGATGTTAATACAGTATGCAGAACAGGAGAGAAATGAAGCTGAGCTGTAAGAGTAATAACAGAAACTAAAACTTTAGTGTTTGAGTTTTCATAAGTTTTTATGGAAAAACCCAATTTCTTGCCTTAGGAGAAAAGTTACTTGTAAGTAAAATCTATAAATCCTGTGCCTCAGAGCAAGGTTGTTTACGGATCCTCCTGCTGCAGCAGGTAAAATGCCTCAGTTTTACAAAGAGCTAGTCAGGTGTATGTCAGTAGGGATCATGAAAATAGACATTATGCAGCCTAATCAACTACTACAACACTGCATAATCACCTAAAAGGGCCCCAGAGCTGCTGCTGAAACCTACAGCAAAATCAGATGTACATATAAAAATACTCTTTCAAATCAGACATAATTAGATGCTTTTTGAAGCAGTATGTGCTTGTGTTCTAAAACTATTCTTGAGTCCCTTTGTAGCAATAACTTTGGGGAATATTGTTAATTCACACCAATGTCTTAGTGTAAAACACTGTGGGAATGTGGGGGAATCTACATGATCTACATCTCATTTCAAACATCAGAGGATGACAGGCTGCTATTACAGACCAGCATTCAGGGAACATTTCCTTCTGTTTGACTGCAGACCATCGTTCTATTTTTTTTTTTTAATCGTTTCACAACCATTTGCCTATTTTCTGGCCTTGTGTGCTGCTTAGTAGGCTTTGGCAAGCATTCAGGAATTATTTCCAAGGGTGGTAGTGTGCAAAGCAAAGGCCAAGGACAGTGAGTTAGAAAAGCGTTGCGGGGATGGTGTTGGGAGGGCTGTGAATGGGATGGTGCTTCTGGAACCTCAAGAGGACATGCAGAAGCTGTTTGTTAAAAGTACAACTCATTCCTTAGTGGTTTAATACTAATCTCTACCAAGTGTTACCACTGACTACCTGCAGAGCAGTGTTTCACCTGAACTCACAGTCTCTGAGGCTGAGGGAGAGCAACAGGTGAGCATAAACGGTCATGATGGTACCAAAGACCACCGAGTAGTCACCGAAGAAATCGCTCATTTTTGCTGATCTGAAAAATTCACAACACCCTTATATTGATTATAGCACACAAAACCAACAGATATTTGCCTCCAAACCCTGAGGATTGCTGCAACTTCTTCACAGTGTTATGTGTTTGCCAGCTGAACTGATAGCATTAATTGATGGACACCTTCCACCACACCAGGTTGCTCCAAGCCCCGTCCAACCTGGCATTCAACACTTCCAGGGACGGGGCATCCACAGCTTCCCTGGGCAACCTGTTCCTCTTTTTTATCTGGGGAAGCACTTTCAAATGGTGTGTTTATGTAATCTCACTTCACAGGTAAAAGGAAGCGCAGAAATAGTAAGACATATAATTTACACATTTTAGAAAGCTTTACCTTAGACAAACAAAACAGGCAACTTCCCCTGCTTGTCCTCCCAGCCTCCTCACAGAAACCACTTTTCCAAGGGAGGGTCTGAAGATTCAGACCATGCTTTTTTCCCAAACTTTTTCTAACAGGAAGGAGACAGATTCTCTTAAGCGTGTTGGGTGGGTTTCACAGGCAGAGACTTTGCCTGGAGCTACACAGTAATTAAATCACTGGTATCAGCTGGTGAATATGAAACTCCCTTTACTGGTAAAAAATGAAAGAGCTCCTCCTCTGAATATTATTTTTCTTATGTTAGACAACCCTATGACTCATTTCATTATTGTTCTTTACTCTCTCACGCACACAGAGTGCATAATGTTGGTGCAGGTTATGGGTTTACCAACACCAAGAGTTAGGCTTCACCCTAAATCAGCATAAACAGAATAGAGGAAATAAGTAATCTTTGATGAAGAATGGTCATTCCATGCCTATACTGCACTTTAAATCCAGTAAATTTTAAGGGACGATTTTCAAAAGAGATTTTTCAAAAGAGAGTTTTTGTTTCCAGCCTCAGATTGCTACTACAGCAGCTAAGCAAAGACTCCTCACTGCTCTCTTGGAAAAAACAGCATTATTAAAATGTTCATACTTTCCCCCCATAAACTGTATTCCAAGATTGAGTATAAGAAAAGTTGATTTCACAGGAGGAAGTGTGCATTTTAAGAACAATCATAAAATAACAAGAAAAAACTTCCTATTTTCTGAATGTTATTTTACATTGTGATAAAAAGAACCAAGTTATCTCTGAGAAAGGCAGAAAGCAAGCGATGGCTGTAAAGCAAGTTCTACAGGGATGTGCTCCCACAGTGTTTGGGAGGCAAATAAGAAAGCTCAGGAAGTATTTTATATTCATTTAAATATTAGCTTAGGATCTGAAATACATATAGATAGATTATCTAAGACCAACCTTTAAAAAGGCTCTTTTTTCCAGTGTATTCATTATGAAGGGAGGAATTGCTGCAAGTAAGATAAAAAAAAATGCATTAACCTTGGAGAAAAAAGCAGTTTGTTTTCATTTTCTGTTTAGCTAAACTAATAACACAATTTTCACAGCCGGTTGTCATTCACTGAGTTTTCATTTCACATTGCCAGTTCAAGATGAAGAACTGGTATTTTTCAGAGTCAGATTCTCCCAATAAGCAAAATTTGTAATTGCACATGTAACTAAACCTGAGCTCAGTAACTCAGCACTGGTCAAGAGCCCTAAATCAATTCCAAAAGTGGAATTTGCTACCATTGCTTCCCTATCTGTATTATTTCAGCAAAAGCATCCCAGGAGCTTTCCTGTTGCACTTCAGTGTAACACACTCTGGATGTTTTCACAGTGAGAAATGCACATTTCTCTGGGGAACTTCTTACCAGAAAGGCAAACACTGCCTGGGGAACTGTGAGGCAATTTGGCCTCTGAGAAAACTCAGTTAGGACTGAAGCTCTCTCTCACATTAGGAACTGATAACCAGGAGCTGCAAAGGGCTGCAGTTATTCTTACCCATTCCAGGAGCAGCCATCAGAATCCTTGAGATAACCACCTGGGTGATTGCCTGCTGAGCTGCTTTGGATGATTCACCCACTCTGTTCCCATCCTCATCTGTGACGGGGATTCCAAACTTGATTTCCCTGTTGAATAGGGAGTAAAAATAAAGCAGTGATTAAGGTGAATTTACTCACCCTTTTTTGTCACCTTTTGTCCCTTAAAATTGTCACTGTTAAGACTGATGTGTTTTGTTTTATTTTATTGTCTAAGTTATCCTGTTCGTAATGCTCTTCAGCATAAAAAATTTTAAAAGGTAGAGAGAAACCTGGGGAAAAATATGCGGGAAAATTATCCACTGAATAACAGCAATCTGCTGCTTGAAGCTGGTCACACTTCCAAGAGAGAGAGAGAAAAGAGATGTTTTACTCCGTAGTACACAGAAAGGAGAAGTTCCCTGAAAGAGCACTTTAGAAAAATGGAATTTCCTGGATTCTGTTGTTTCTGACAGGCAGCTCAAGGAATACAGGAAGATTAGTTTCACTGAAACAGAAGTCTATGTGAAAATTCCCCTCTGGTATTCTAGAGTCTGAGTTTTCATTTCAACCACTAAGAATATATTTGCAAGTATAAAATGATGCACAAACCAAACTACATTTCTGTAGTTGCATTATTCTCTATTAGGTCTTCTGTTCAAGAGCAGGGTTAGGTGTTCAACTCACATACTGGGAGAAGCAGAGAGAACTGCAGATATCCTGACCGCTTTTATTCTTCTCTTCATATTTTATAAAAGACAAAATACTACCAAGGAACAAATTCCATTGTAAATACAGAAGTTAAATATTTCCTTTTTTGCCCATAACCTTGTGTCTATCAGAGGACACTTTTAATTTGTTTTCCCCTACTACTATTCTTACTCCATGTCAAATCAGAACACATGAAAGTTTATTTCTGACAAACTGCATATTTCTGTAATCTCAGATGATTGAAAAAAACTGCAGAGCCTGACTTCTATGATGAAGTTCTGCACATGGGATTGAAGCACAATTTTGAAATCACTGTATTCTTTCAAAGTGGAGTCTGTGCTCAAGGATTCACGTGATCAAATTTTGAAGGATCAGTAATTGGCTTCTGAGATCCAAGACTGAAGAACTCTATGGATATTTACCCACAGAGAATGAGCATACTCTATTTTATACCTGTCACAGACAATCAGTCAAAACAAGAACTTGCATGAGGTTTTTGCAAGGTTCTGAAACAAGCTGAAGATATAGAATGTCCTTATTTAATAACCTGCTGATCTACAAACTCAGTAACATCCTTTCTTCCAGCATGAGTGATCTTTGTTCTTTTTCCTACCTTTGTCTCATTAGTGGAATATTAATGCAGTTTGCAGAAGCAACAGCAGCAAAAGGAACAAACCGTCCTATAAGAGGTGAGACGCGCTGTAAAACACAGAAAGGGGGAGAAAAGGAAAACAAAAAATTTACATAATCCTTGGCTTTTCCAAAGGTCATATTCAAATGCTTCATGTGATAATCATAGACCAGACTTACTTCCTTTACATGAAAATTCAGTGAAAACTCACTGGTGGGGTAGAGGTAGAAAAACAATGAACACGAAATAAGTCACAAATGCTTCTCTAAGTGAGTTAGCAGTGGCAGGAGAGTGGCAAAACCATTCTGAATTTAGTAGCATCATGGGGAAGTGTAATTACATCTCCACTCCAATTGACTTTCAAGTACTATTAAATGCCTTTGACATGTGAAAGAGAAACTGCAAAAAGGTACCTTATTAGACATAGTTTGTATTAACCAAACATGAGGCTGTTTGACACATGTGAGCACAGGCTAGTTGAGAAGCATATATAGAACCATCTACACTGGGAAAAAATAAGGTTGTGATGTAGAGAAAGGAGCTGCCAAAGGTCATTACAACTCCATAGTGGGAGCTGTTCACATGACACAGATACACCAAAGGAGGAATGAGCTGCAAGCAGCTCACAGAACACCACAGTCTAGTGAGAATGGAAAAAAATATCAGCAATACCTTTGCTAGTGCATTAAGTCCTAAAGCTGTTGCGACAGCACCGGTGGTGGCAGAAACATAGGCTGTTCCCAGCTGGCTAAAAGACAAATTAAAATGTTTGCACATGCACAACTGCATTTATGCATTTATCTAAAGATAATTACATTTTACACATGTAGTTATGAAAGTTAAGAAGTTAAGAAATAGACCTTTTTGTGCTACTGCAATAAGATGTGGAGGGAAGATCTAAAAGGACCCTAAATTAAACAGTTTTTATTTCACTAGCAGTAGAAATCATGTATCAAGCAGCATTTTAATATTGAATCAGGTTCTGCTGGTTGTGCCTGTTCAGCATTTTCTCATGTGTCTGAATGAACATCTTGAAGGATTAGTTCTCTATTTAATTTCCTAATTGCTTAACCTAATAAAATCAGTTTGGGTTTCTAAGGCCATGTCTAGGATAGTAATTAAAATAAACTATATCAAACCCCACACATGCAGACAGCTATGCTGCAAACACTGCTCTAAACAACACTGTACATACTTCCCAGCTAGGAGGTGTTTGTATATGCTTGAATCCATCATTTTCTCCTGGCCATCATTAAGCATGTCAGCCCCCAAACCAGAAAGTCAAGCACTGCAATTCCAGTTTTCTATTCAAAGAATCACAGAATGGTTTGGGTTGGAAGGGACCTTAAAGTACATCTTGTTCTACCACTGTGCCATGGGCAGGGACACCTTCCACTAAACCAGCTTGCTCCAAGCCCCATCCAACCTGGCCCTGAAAGCTTCTATGGGGATGGAGCAGCCACAACTTCTCTGGGCAACCTGTGCCAGTGCCTCACCACCCTCACAGGGAAGAATTTCTTTTGTGCATCTAACCTAAATTTCCCGTCTTGCAGTTTGATTTCCCCTTTTTCAGCTTGAGATTTCTAGCTTTGGGCATCTATTTAGTCTCTCTTTTTGGCATCACACAGGAACAAGCACAGATTCTTTCCCTGAAGGAACCTCTTTTTGTAAATAAGCCTCCCGTGTGGTGTGTAGTGGGCACCAAGAAGGTGGCACAGTGACACACCTAAAGGTCCAAAATATCAGCTTAGAAATACCCTGGTATGACACCAAACTGATGAGGCACTTGCAAATGGCTGAGTGAGCCTACAACACAGAATCCTACTAAATCCTACACTATTAAGAGCTCATGATCAAGGTGCTTGGGGGCTTGTCTTTCATGGTAGAAATGGAGTTCTTGCCTCTGTCATTCTGAGAATTCTCATTTGTGCATACCAAATTAATAACTAGTATGGATGGGAAAACTTAGCCCCCTCTCACTCCAAACTTTAATGCCCAACCATGTTCAAGTACATCAGAGACCAACTCATAAACTCATCAGAATTATGTGGTTCAGTGTCTGACCTGACAGTGATTGGGGCATCCCCGCTCCTGTTCGTGTAATTTACCACAGCATTGAAGGACTGGTTGATCCACTGCCAGAAAAGCACTGCTGGTGTCGTTCTTGAAAAGAGAAACAATTGTAATTATTATTATTATTAAAACCACAGTTGAATCAACAGCCCAGAAAAATGATGGCAAATCTAATAAACCCACTGCAAGGAGTAACCATGCAGAGGTTCTTTTTTATTTGAATGAATCGATACAGTCATTGACATACTGTCTTACTATCAAGAGTTCTTCTAGGAGAAGAATTTAGAAACATTGTAATTAACTAGAAAGGTTCACTTGGGACAAAGGTTTGCTGTAATAACAAAAGGATTATAGCAAACCTCTCTATAAAAAACACCCAGAGAAACAGGGAATGCTCTAATTTCCAGAATGCTTTTCCAGGGTCATTATTCCTCTACAGTTGGATAGTTCTTTTTGGAAGCTCCATAAGTGATTGAGAGGTGGTTTTTAGGAGCCAGGGTTTATCCCTTCAGTTTTCAAAAAGCTAATATGATATGATGACATCGTTTTAATAAACTCCTGTGACAAATATTCAGTCGCATTTACAACCAGATTAAAAGACCTGACTCCAAAATGAAAAATTATTTTCATTAAAATATCTGCATGTTTAGGTAGAGATACAGAACACAAATTAGTCTGATTCAATACTGCATGACAAAAAGGTACCAATTAGTGAGCACAGGTAGGAGGCAGTGAAAAAAATATGCCCTGTACCAGTTGCAGAGTCTCCATTTAACAGGCTGATGTGGTTCCTGTTAAACTGCAGATATAATCATTTTACAAGGAGAGTATATCAGGGGAAAATTGTGTTTGTGCACTCAGACCACAATCTCTGTCCACAGTGGAGACAGCACTGAAGATTCTCTGCTCCACCAAAATTTCATTTGGGCGAAACAGGCCCCTAAAAGTAAGAGTTGCTGCTGAAAACTATTTCTTGATCATTAAAATAACATTTCATAGGACACTAAAGCTTACATTTAATTAAATTATTTAATAATAAAGGCAGTAGCTGCAACAGGAATGTGATTTTCCTCAGAGGGCTGATATGGAAACTGAGGACTAAAGCAGCAGCAACAGTTGTACCAATTATTCTGTAAAAGGATGAAGCAAAGAAAAGATGCTAGAGCAGAAGATGTGTGTCTGTCGTGACATTCCGAAATGGGAAGGTATGTTATTTCTTTAAATTGCAAAAAATTGAAAGATTCAGGAGATTTGGGAATGTATTATTATTATTCCCTATGGTTTCCAGTATCTGAGATGCTAAAGCAGCAGGGATAAACCAGCTGGATTTTTTCCATCACTGCAGCTGTTTCTTCCTCTTTTCCTGAGTCACCTTTTCCTTTTTCCTTGCTACTGGCGTAGAGAGGATGTTAGGCCTGCTCTAAGGTTTAGGTGTGACTCACACTGTCCTACTGCACATCCAAGAGCCCCCACAGGTATAACAAGGAATTTGCTTCTTCCTGTGGCCAGCAGTAACCACAGCACGTGGTGTGCAGTGAGAGAGTGGATACACTGCATCATCCAGGGAATTCTAAACAATCCTGTTTGCAGTGCTGAGGATTTGGTCCAAAGGAACCAATGCCTTATAGGCTAATAAATCACCTAGTTGTGAATGTGAGCAATAATGCAAAGAAAAGATACAGAGCAGCTCTAAGTGTTACAATAATAACAGAACGTGTAAGAGAGCAAGAAGTTAACAGGAGGCAATGCTTGGAAATGGGCAGCTGCACTGAGGGTTTGATTCATATTATTGACTGTTTTTTATAACACACACGTGTTCAAAAGAGCTAGGCCTATCTGGGGTGTGTGTCAAGAGTTCATACAATCTCAGCATTCAAAACACTACTGCTATTTTCTCTGAGCAGTTCCTGCTGACCAAACTCTGTGCTGAAAAATATTTCTAACATAGAGGCTGCTAAAAGATCACACTGGCTCCTGCTGTGGACTTCACTGGATTCCAGAACCTCTGAGGAAATGTAGGGATCAAAGGGGAGCTGGAGGAACTCGATGACCGATGGACCAAAGCATACTGAGTACTCACGTGGCAGACAGAACATCCTGCATGCCAGACCAACAAGGTTAGACATTCCCAGGAATCTGCTCCTCTTTGTCCTCCACACACCTCTCCTACACAGATGGGACTTTGGAACATTTCCCAGTTTGAGGAAAAGCGGGATGGTGAAGGAGGCTAAGGGCTTATTTCACAACTACTTCTAGAGGGAACCGTTAATCAGTGTGAGGGAATGTGGAGAGAGAAGAGAAAAGGAAGCAAAAATTTACATTTAAAAACAGTTATTATAAAACTTTTGACAATAACATCGACTTTCACTTATCTAATTCGTAGGCAAATGCTTCATGTGCTATATTGCCATCACTTACCTATAAAAGGTCATCATACAGCCTGTGATGGTCATGTTCATGGGCACCTGAGCGGACATTCGGCCAATCAAGACCATCTTTTCACCAGTGTCTGGGTGAAAGGCTGAATCGTAGATGTATTTGGCTCTCCACAACTCATCTTCTGTCAAGCCAGGTGCTACAATACCTAGTCTTGGGACAAGTTAAAAAACAAAATAACACAACAGCAAAAAGCACGACTGTTATAAAATGCTGCAACCTTGCGTGAGAAGTGTGGCACCAGAGGATTTTGGGATGTTACTCAAGCCTCACAGTTAGTTTGTAGATCTTGTCTTTTAAATGGACTGGCAAAATAAAACGAACCAAAGCCCCCAGCAGTGGTTGTGTTGGCTTAGTCAATATATTCAGCACCAAATAAGTATTTACTCAAACCTGTAGTAGATTTGGGAGCTAAAATCTCTGGAGCATAAGTGTGAAACTTTAAAAATTCACTTGGTGAGTATTTAAGAAACCACTTGCTCCAAACAATGCAACACACAACAGGAAGTTTTAAGCTCTGCTGTCATATTAACTGTTTTCAGAATCAGACACTTTGGTATTTCAGAATCCTTAACAGGAGTCCTCAGTTGACTGAGAACAGCCACCAGCAAATTTGTTTTTTAAAAAAAGGGTTTCAAGCTCTGAAGTAAGAATAAAGAGTGGTGCAATGAAAACAGTGTTTTAAATATTTCCTTTTAAATACATCACCATGTACTTATCACTGACATGGACGTTTTTTGGGTCAGCAGCAGGAGCAGCCAATGCCATACCTGTAATCATGCACAATTTTTCTTGCATTTTCCAGTTTGGCATCAGATAACAAAATATTCCGGGGATCTGTTACAGTAAAGAAGTGATTGGCTCGTCCAGAAAAAGTGCTTTGATCCCATCGGGGCTCCTTGATATTTATATTTAATGGTATATCTCCTGACATCTTCTAAAACTCTGTGAAGAAAACAGGAACACGTGCAATTCAGAATTCTACTTATTTCCTAATGCATCTGTAAACTGCAAGAAGAAAAGGGGTTAAGTTTATAGTAAAAAGCCCTGAAAATTTGTTGAAAATACTGTATTGAAGGGAAGAAGAAATCAAATATTTCAAGAGACGCCCAAAGTGCAGTGACAGAAGAAATATTTAATAAAATCCAGTTAACTTCTCTGGCACAGCAAAACAAAATAAAATTAGGAACACAAACACAACAAGTTATTTTAATAAATGTTGTTTCTCTAAATCCATGTTTTAACAAGACAGAGATTATATAATACAACAATTTGCCCCATTATGAACACATGACCAGATCTCCTAATGATACTTCAAAGATGATTAAAGAACTACAAAGAAGGACACTGAGCTAACATAGTTTTGCATTTATGGGGCATAAAGCCCAGAAAATTAAAAAATATTTCAGGATGACTAAGTTTACTTTAACATCTAATGAAAGGAGGAAAGTTCCTCCATAGCAAAATGTGCATGAATTCTAACTTTCTTAGGAGAAATTTCTGCAACACATTCAGTAGCCAGTTAAAAAAAAAACATCCTCCAAATAATGCTTGTTCAATGGCTGAAGGAAATTTGATCTATATAAATACAGATGACATCATGCAGCTTTTTATCCAATTATCCAATTCCAATAGGAAAAACATCATTATTATGAGGACAACTAATACCTATGGCATAAGCTGCCGCTGAAGTGTGTATTCATCTTAACTCAAGAACACCATGAAGTTGTCTGAGATGATCTTTGGAGTCCCTTCCAAGCCAAACCATTCTGTGATTCTATGATTCCAGAAGGCCAGTAAATGTGGCACAGGAGGGGAAACTAATCTTCGTCCCCTTCTTCTACTCACATTTGCCTCACTGTTAAGTTCATTACTGCACAGGACCTTTTATTAGTAGGATTATTTTCATGTGATACTTTTCTCACCAGGCACATCACAGATGAACACAAATCATGGAAATGAAAAAAGACTCAGGGCAGACTTGGAGAACAAAATTCTCACGCAGAGCATCTAAACAGGAAATGTTCCTCAGGTTTCTTTTCCCTCTCTTACTACTTTATAATTAAAAATACCCTCCCGTGAACAGTTACATGTTGTGAAACAACAGTCCATCTTCTGGTCTAAAGGGGGAACTGCTGGTTTTGCAAAGCCCTATGGAGGCAAGTGCATGCATTTATTTAAAAATTCTTTTCCACTAAAAATAGAGATAAAAATCTACACCCTAGGGCTGGTAACTTACTCTATGAATGCTTCCCTATTGGTATGTCATTTGTTGGAAAGTCCAAGTATAAAAATATTTTTATAATTAAATTATCTGTTTCATTAAGAAAATATTAAAATCTGCTTAGGATAGCTTATGATAATCTGTTTAAAGCTGCCTAATGAATGCTGAATAAAACAGCCCTTACACAGAAGGTCTTTTCTTTCTTTTCTCTCTGATTAGCATATACACTACGGGGTTGTCTGTGAACTGTTTTTATATACTTCTGATATCTCTGTGCACAAAACCAAGTAACTTAGTAATAAGAAATGTAAACAATAAAGATCTTCCCTCACCGCAGATGGCTCAAAGTGGATCTACAGAACACAGAATGCAACACTTTCACACTCTGTTTTTATCCCCTCCCCACTCAACCTACTCTATGTCCGCTCTGATGCTCTTTGACCCAAGTGTGCTGACAGAACTTAGTACCTTGCCAGGAAACTAATTCAGCAGAAACAAAGCACCTGCACCTGTACAGGCTTGGTGTGACCTGCAGCACAGCAGCCCTGTGGAGAACTGGGGGGTCCTGGTGGTCAAGAAGCCCAATGAGATCCTGGGGTGCATTAGGAAGAGCATTGAAGGTCAGCGAGGGGACCCTGGCCCTCTGCTCAGCACTGGTGAGGCCACATCTCGAGTGCTGTGTCTAATTCTGGGCTCCTCAGGGCAAGAGAGATATGGAGCTCCAGTGGAAGCTACAAAGACGATGAAGGGACTGGATCATCTTCTTACAAGGAAAGGCTGAGGGAGCTGGGGCTGCTCAGCCTCGAGGGGAGACACTCAGAGGGGACCCCACCAATGTCTGTTGGTCTCTGCAGGGAGGGGTCGGAGGATGGACCAGGCTCTGCTTGGGGGTGTCCAGCAGTGGGACAAGAGGCTGTAACACACTCTAGCAAAATAAAAGCGACTCAAAGACAATAACAACCACTCTGGTTGCCAGCACAAGGTAAAATTCCTATTTCCATGCCTTTCTGCCTGCTGTTACCCAGACTAGCCAGACTAAGCCAGCAGGAGCACGCCAGCACATGCTTTGGTTCTTTTTTCTCCTTCTAAATCTACCCAAGAAGCATTAGCACTGCAGCAGCAAAAAGCAATCTACCAGGAAAATGGACAGCATCCATTAATAGATGTGCTACAACTAAAGTTCATGCTTGAAATTGCTGTGTGTGTTTAGAAAGGTGGCAACAGAAAGCACTGACTTTACTATTACCAATCTTAATAAAGGACAGTATAAGGCCTCCAATCCTGCATAGGATGTTTGGGCAGGACAGCTGTCTACCCTGAAAAAGGTTAGATCTCACATAAAAGGGGGGTAAAATTTTAGGTGAAAGCTATTTAAGTGCCCAAACCCATTTCCTTTTCTCAGTGATGTGACTGATATAATTGACTTGCACTTTCAGTAGGTAAGCAGGAACACTGCTGTCCTAAAGAACTTTAAAATGAACCAGGCAGACCACCAATGCCCACAGAGAAGGAGCTGGTGTCACATGTACAAGGGAGTGTAAAAAAGTTCAGATACAAGAATAATATAATTTGGAAACACATAAAACTTGCAGTGAAGTGAAAAAGGTGGCTGAGTTTGCCAGTCTCGGGACTCTGAGTCATAGACCTTTTATAATAGTGCCTCAGAGAACAAGGGAATTTCTGTCTTGAAAACTTAAAAGTTTTCCAGCAAAATGTTTTAAGAATAAAAGCCCCACCTCTTGTTTAAAAGGGCCTGTATGATGCTGCTCATGACCTATGAGATCCAATTAGTAAATGCTGAAAAGGGAAATAAATCCCATAAAGCAAAAACATAAGCTAATAAAATGCTGATGTACTTCAAAGGGACCCTCTTACAAAACAAAATGTCCAACTATAAAGTAAAAATGGTGACTGTACACAAAAATGGCTTCATCAATATATTATTTAACAGCCACACAGTCATCATTATGAACTATATGGCTTTTAAAAATTTTCTTTTATTTAAACAGTGAGGCTGTAAAACTCCAAGAAATAGGTACAACACCTTCAATATAAGTTGCTGCAACTGTATTTTACCTACCTGTCACCTTAATTTTCAGATACAATTTCAGAAGGGTGCTGCTGTTTGCACAGGCCATTCAAATACTCAATAACAAAACCATTGTAAAGAAACAACTTAAGATTTAATTATTATTTTGACTACAACGCTTTGTCAACGGTGTAAACTTCAGTGATATAATTTTCCACCTATATTAAGTGTGCCCAAGATTTAAGTTCTCATTATCCATTATTTGATTATGTTAATTGTGTAAAGAAAAAATAAAGGACATTTTGGTTAAATCAAATTTAAACAAATCCATCTGAACACTGAGATAAGTAGAAAGTTTGAAAAGGAACTGGAACGCAAAAGCACAACTCCTCTACAACAGAGATAAAACTGTTTGCTTTGTTACAGGCAACTAAGGAAGACAAACCTCAATAACTGCCTAACCATTATTAATTAATTAAATTAATTAAGGAGCTTATATATAAACATCTGAATTTATTGTTCCCACCTGCTGCTATTCAGTAAGTACCAACAGATGGGAGACCACCCTGAAAGAGGACAAACATTTGAATCAACAGCACCTGAAATGTTAAGGTGGAAAGGTACAGCAAAATTGCCCAAGCTGATACCAAAACAACTCTCCTCGGCAAACAATGGCGTTAACAGAGGATCTGGGAAACAACATGAATTTTACAAACACATCAGTTACTGTAATAATCCATAGTGAAATATCACTTTGAGGTCATGTTCAAACAGGAGGATCAGCAGTAATGGAAAGGATAAAAGACAGCGTTGTAACACAGTCAAACAATTAACATCCATCATGGAAAACATGCAGCAAGGAAGGAAATAAGACATATTTTCACTATTTCAATGAACAAATCAATTAGAAAGGTATTTAATAGAAGCACTAGTACCTGCACACCCTGTAGCTGGTGACGGTCCCCACCAGTAAATTAAATCAGCAATACAGAAAGGACTATGCTCTCTGGCACATTCATATCACTAAACCCTTTCAGTTTCCAAACCAGGGTGGCTGTATCCGAACTGCCCACGGAGAATGGCAGCTAAATCCTCCCTTGTGCTGCCGGATTGTCTGGGCGAGTATCAGCTGTCCTGGGCAAAACCGCTCCCCGCCGCACTCCAGCGAGTTCACAATGCAGGGGACGGCATTCCCATGACCAGGAACTGTTTTTGGCACCGTGTGTGTCCCCAGCACTGACACGGAGGTTTGATCACCCGCATTTCACACTGCGCCTCTTCCTGTGGACCATGGCATGTTTTCAGGATCATAACTGATTGTGAGTTCATAAATTTTTCCATAAACACATGACTGTGTTTTCCTCCTGTGAGAAAAGGCTGGGAGAACTGGGATTGCTCAGCCTGGAGAAGAGACACTTAGGGATGTCCTAATCGTAGCCTTCCAGTACCTCAAAGGAGCCACCAAGAAAGGTGGAGAGAGACTATTTACAAGGGCTTGGAGTGACAGGACAAGGGGGAATGGCTTCACACTGACAGACAGTAGGGTTAGACTGGATATTGGGGAAAAAAGTCTTTACTTTGAGGGTGGTGAGGCACTGGCACAGGTTGCCCAGAGAAGCTGTGGCTGCCTCATCCCTGGAATTGTCCAAGGCTAGGTTGGGTGGGGCTTGGAGCAACCTGGTCTGGTGAAAGGTGTCCCAGCCCATGGCAGGAGGTGGGATGAGATGATCTTTAAGGTCCCTTCCAACCCAAACCATCCTGTGATTCTGTGAGTGTCAAGTGAAAGAACTGGCCACGTTTGGCATGTTCTTGGCATGTAGTTCTGCAGACCAGAGGTAATGAAATGTGGGGATACAGATGGCAGATCCCAGAGAGGACACCACTGAGCAAAACTGTGCTTCCCAAGTGTTTTACAGCAAACTTCTCTACCACTCTCTCTCCAGATCTCCCTGCTGCCTCCTCACCTCCCCCCAATGCTCTCCCAGCCCCAGCAATTAGAAAATAAAAACTTAATAAAAAGCACATTAGAACTCACGGATGAGTAAGGTCCTTGGTTTATCTGAACAGAAACTCTCAACTTCTTATACAGAAGTCTTTATTTTAAATCACTAATTCTTTGACTAGCTTTTTCATCTTGTACTTTCAGTCAAAAAGAGACAATGAACTGAGCTGGAAGCCCCAGTACCAAGAATTTCTCGCCCTCTCTGATCAGATCGAATCATCTGCCAGTTTGTGGTCTAATGGTTAGTAGTAATATTAACTGGAGGGGAAAAAGGGTTTAAGAATAAGGGAGAGTGGCCTCTACTAATATAATAATTACATACAAAACTAGCACAAAGTCTGATGAACAGTTTTGGTACAAAGGCTAAGTTTAGATGTGCCACAGAACCAGCAACAGCAGAAGACTTTAAACCCTGTTTAAAGGTTAACAACAGCAGTTGCAGCAATTATACAAAATGCAGATTCAGGAGTTCAATTTTCTGCAGTTCCTTTTCAAAGTTCATGTTTTAAACATCCCACTGAAGGTCATGCAACCACTTTTCAAACCAAAGCAACAGCTAAGAGAGTAGCAATTAGTATTTAATATATTTCAGACAGTAACATACCACACAATTTTGAGTAACTCAGACACTTGCTCATTTATTTATACCACCTATAAACCATACTGCATGACCGAGTAATCCAGATGGGCACATGGTCTGGGAAATTCTGGGCAACTTAAACTCATGCAGCAGCGCACAAATGAGGAGAAGCAGCTTTGCTACCCTCCTTGGAAACATTTACATTTTCTTATGTCAGTGACACCTTGTATTTTAACCCAAGCCTCGAAAAAAAATGCACTCTGTAAGTAAGAAACTTTGTCAGTTCTTTCCAGTATCTAAGCTAAAACTGGGAGTAGGGTGACAGAAAAGGAAATGTCATGGTGATGTAACTGTGAACCCAGAGAGACATCTGAAGAGAATTCTACATCCAAAAGTAGTGCAGATATAACTGTGGTAATGCATATTGTGGCATCTCACAAACTCCCAAACTATAACCTGCAACCCTGGGTTAAAAAGCATGGAATGTGCTGAGTATTCCAGCTTAAAAGAGAATTCTAACCAGCCTGCACACAGGAGGGCAAGTGAGCCAACACAAATAGTGAAAGAAAGGTATCACTTGTGTGGTGTCCTTTACCAGGACTCCGATCCCTAAGTTCAGGTGATGCAAGGGTGCTCAGATCAGATCACGATTCACAAAATCTCCTAGAGGTAACTAAGAATTCTCTTTCAGAAAAATGAGAGTCGGGCTTTTCCCTGAAAATCCAGTAAAAACAGACAGTAACAGCAGTACCTCTTTCTTAACAGAACTCTTTAGGATTCTTTATAATGGGAATAGTTCAAAAGTTAGAGTCAGGTGCTGCTGACATTTCATGTGTAGACTCAGTGGGAGAGAGAAAAACTAGATTTGACACACTCAGGCCCCTAAATCTCTATTTTTCAAAGCAGTCCCTTAACAGCCTGATGTCCAGCTGTTCGTGCTCTGCTCTTCAAAATGAGATGTAGGCTGGAAAACACTGCGGATGAAAAAAACCCCTGCTGCTATAAAATGGGGAGAAGAAAAGCTCTTCTTCCTCCAACATGCTTATTAGCAAAGTGCCCCTTGCACCAAATTCTTGTTTGTTTTTGCAGAGTTGAGTTCTTTTGAAACACTTCCCTGCTTTTCCATGCTGCTTTCATAGAAAAATACTCAGAGGTCCTGTTAGGCCTCTTTATTCCTCAAATAACACAATGTTCCTTTTTGGGGCTCCCTTGTCTGAACCAACTCAGATTTTTCTTTTCCAATGCCCAGTTTTCTTCAATGCCCACCCAAATGGCTGCTGTGTTGGCTTAGGAGAAAAAACAGATTAACCACTCTCTCATTAGTAAAAGGTAATTTGTTCTACTTTAAAACTACAACACATTGTCAAAGCAACAGCGGAAAGGCAAAACCAGCTACTACCCAGACTTTAATTGCTCTGGTAAAGAAAAGAACACAAGGCCTTCTCCAAGGATGTCAGTCAGGGCAGTTAATTAGTTGAAATGAGAAGAACTTTTACAGAAAAAAAGCATTTTTGTGTGGTGGCAAAAGAGCACATATCAGACTTATGAGGGTTGGTAAGCAATGGTATTTGGTATTCCTCTATTTGCACTAGTTTGCTGCCACAGTTTGAAATAAGTGGCACAGCTGATGACTGGGAGAAGTATGATGAAATGTTCTTAACACCAAATGTTAACAAAGCCACTTGCCAAGTTTTCATTCCCCAAAGCAGCTTCTACCACCAAATCCCTACTTAAATCACCAGGGGAAAAAAAAAGATCTTTGCCTGCACTATGATTTTTCCTACTGCAATCCTAAATGAAACACTGGAGAAGGCAAATCATGGCAACACTACAAGACACTTTTTTTTTTTTTTTTCTTCTTTTGCTTATAAATGTACATCCCACTTGTAGCCTAGCAACAAAAGCAGCAGCCTGGGTGAAACGGATCGAGCCTGCTGCTGGGGCTCTCTCCTCAAAACAGGAGCCATCTTTGGCGTGTAACTTGACCAGAGATTTCATCATTCCGCACTAAAGCCACCTCCAGATGTTAGAGGCTCCTGCAGCCAACTCAGCAGTGTCGGCTTTCAATCTGCCACCCCTTTTCCCATCCCCATCAAACATGAGGTAGATTGCAGAGACACGACACGTGTCCACCTCATCTCCACGTTCAGAAAAATAAACCCTCCTTGCTAAACAGGGCTAGTGCAAGCTCTTATTTCAGTCCTGATTGCTGCAAGCTTGTTTCTGCTCCTTAATTTCTTACACCCCCATCAGTAAACTGCAGGAGGTTTGGCTCTACCCAGGCATGTTCATGGCCCTCTTCTGTACATTTTCACTATTTCATATATCTTTTTCTAACAGGATCCATACGGGTGATTTTCTAATTGCACATTGATACAAAGTCAGTCTTCACCCTCCCCTTTCCCATTATAATAACAATAAATTGTTCATAATTAAAAAAAAATTTAAAAAATCAATACTCATAATTAAGATCCCTATCTCTGGCTACCACGTGTCTGACCTTGAAGTTATTTGGTGTATTCCTCCCCTGGAAAGGACGATTCTGCAGCAGGGAGGCTTGTCTCCTGCAGGCCTGGGATCTCTGCAGCTGCCACGCAATCCCTGTGACACAGAGCCCATGCTCAGGGGACAGCGAGTGGTCAGGGGGAGATTTTGGGAGCAGGTGGGGAAGCAGGGAGCTGTGATGCGTGCAGGGAGGAGGCAGCCCCACAGTGCCAGCTGTGTGGCACTGCCAGTGTCCAGCCCTGCTTTCACAAGGACAGGGTGACACATGGGGCTGGGATGCTGTGGAAAGGATGGGATAGCACATGGGGCTGGACCCGGTGGAGGGGACAGATAGATTAGGGCCGCTGCAGGGGTAACAGAGGTGACAGATGGGGCTGGTCCCTGCAGAGGGACCCGGGGGTGGCACGGGGGGTTGGTCCCCTACGGAGGGGACTGAGGTGGCAGACAGGGCTGGGTGCCTGTGGAGAGGACGGGGTGACAGAGAGAGCAGAGACCCCTATGGAGTGAACAGAATGACACATGGGGCTGGACCCACTGTAGGGGACAGGGGCGACAACCAGATCAGGGCCTCTGCAGGGGTGACAGAGGAGACCGATGGGGCTGGTCTCCTTTGCAGGGGATGGGGCGATACGCGGGGCTGGTGCCTTGTGGAGGGGGCTGAGGCGACACGGGGGGCTGTGTCCCCGCCCAGCCGCCGGTACAGCAGCGGGGGTGACATCGGCAGTGGCTCCTCCGCCCGCGGCCCATCCCCGGCCCCGGTACTCACCGCGGCCGCCGGCCCCGCGCCGCCCTGGCCCCGCTGCCCGGAAGAGCCTCGCTCGGCGGCGCGGCCGAGGGCCCGGGGGAGGCGGCGGGGCCGCCCGGCTCCGCCTCGCTCCGCCCCGGCGGGGCAGGGCCCGGCAGGGCCGCGGCGTGCGGGCAGCGCCCGGGGTTGCTTCCCGCTCTCCGGTCTCCCACCTACTACCTTGGAGCCCGGAGCCGCCCGGGGTGCCTCACAGTTCTCACAGTTAATTACATTAATTATTCCATAGAATATCCTGAGCTGGAAGGGACCCACAGGGATCATCAGAGTCCCCACTCGTGGCCCTGCACAGGACACCCCCAACAAACCCACCGTGTGCCTGAGAACGTTGTCCAAACGCTCCTTGAGCTGTATCAGGCTTCCCTGGGGAGCCCAACCACCCCCTGGGAGAAGAACCTTTTCCTAATATCCAGCCTAAACCTCCCCTGGCACAGCTCCGACCGTTCCCTCAGGTCCTGTCACTGGTCACATTTGCCCCTTTGCTGCCCCTCCGGAGGAAGCTGCAGACCCCAGCGAGGTCTGACCTCAGTCTCTTTCAGGCTGCACTGGATTGGGATTGTTGTTACAGGTTTATTATTAGAAGCCTAAGCTGCACTAAAGACCCCAAACCTGGTGATGAGATGACAATAAACTGCTGTGTGTGAGGACAGCACTGACAGCTCAGAAGGCTGCTTTGAAGGTTGCTCAAGTACGAGAAGCCTTGTCACTTCGCTCTCCCCTAAAGGAGGAGATAAAAAAGTGCATTAGCAGCCAGATAAGGAGTATCCACATGTCACTGTCACTTCCTTGCTGGTCTTGCTCACAGTCAAGCAGTACATCCCTTCCTCAGCTGGGCTCCCAACCCATAACCTCGGTGTCTGATACAGACACTGGGAAGGCAGCAGTGCTCCTGCAAAAGCATCACTGTTGCTTTCCTCCTGGACTCAGCTTGTTCCCAGGCTCAAAGCAGCAACAGTCTAATCTGCACATCACATTCCTGTTATTTTGTCCATGTTTTTCAGGGCAGGATGTGTCTTCATCTTTATTTAAGCAATTCAAAGCTGCTGGTACCCAGTAATGATGTTCTGGATGCAGCTGTGGAAGAGGAAATTGGCACTGGGACAAATGGTGGCCTTGCTACTGTAACTTTCCTTCTTTCTGTTATTCCCGGGGTGGCTGGGCTGCTGTGGCAGTAGAAACACTCAGGAGTCTAAGCTCTTTTGTTTTGCTCTTTCATTTCCTGAAATCCACATCCGTGCTGTGCAACCTGCTGCCTTGTGCCTGTGGTCTGTAACTCAACATGTCACGAGAGGTGACACCGTCCCTGGGGGTGACGTGGGCACAGTGTGAGCACAGGGATGGGAACGGGCACCTTTGGGATTGGTGGGGGCACAGCCACAGCCATGGGGTGGGTGGGGGGTCAGCCCAGGCGGGATCAGGGAAGTGGGCACCTTGTCCTGCAGCTGCCACGGGTGTGGGGAGTGCCCTTTGTGGGATGACACTGCTCCTTTGGGTGCCGACCAGTGCCGGCCGGACCCGATCAGTACTAACCCGACTGGACCTGACCCGGCCAGCACTGACCAGTACTGACCAGTGCTGACCCAACCTGACCCAACCTGACAGGTCCCGACCTGGCTCAACGTGTCTCAGACCATGCTGATCCAACCCATGAGAGTTCATAATGAAAGAGTAAAAGCTAGCACTGATCCCCTTGCACTGCATTTTTCTTGCACAACAGAATTTGTGCACAATTTCTGTATTACCCTGCTAGTGTCTTTAATTCTTTTTAATCTTGTCAGTCACATCCCAGTCTCCATGACCACTGACAGATCCAACACTGAATACATCTTTGATGGTATCTGGCCGTAACACTTGTTGCTAAAAACATTGCAGTGACTGAGCAGGACAGACACCTTGTTCAGAAAATGGAAACAGCTGGATGTCATGCACAGAAATAAATTAGTTGCCTGTGGGTATAACTGGTGCTGTGGTATATGGTTTATGTTCTGAGGACTGATGTGTTCTGCCTCTAATAATTTTCTTATATGCCAAAGACACTAACTTGTTAATCTGCTTTAAAAGTGGTCGTTTCTACATCTTGCAATTGAAATTCTGCTTGCAGACTTTTTAATGTAAATGTATGAATACCTAAATTCTTTCTCTGAGTTGGTATATGCAAAGCTGCATTCATTCCTCGAGCTAATAATTTGCTCTATACTCAGTGCAGATGGTTTTGAAAACTACATAACTTCTCTTTCACTAGACGAGTAATTTCTCCCATTTCTGAGAAACAAATCTGATATTTTGCCAGGAATCCTGGAAAATTTTGAGATGGCTCTGAGCAACCGCCACCAATTGCTCATGAGCTACAAACTGCCAGACAAATGGGTGAATTTGAATAGTCACAAAAAATACCTGACCTCTGACTACACGTGTTGTTTCATCTGCAATAATTCTCACAGTGAAATATTTTTGGCTGTATTAAAAAATGCAGAATCTAAGAGGATGTGCCAGCTCCCACATTCACATGGGGGTTTTGGCCTGATCCTGTTTCTATTCTACACTGAGACCTGGTGTACTGATCCTACTGGTGCCTTCCACGAGCAGAAGGTCAGGTGGGTAGGCTAGAGGGGCTCCTGTGATCTCCAGCCAGCTCTCTGCCTTGGAGAATCAGGAGAGACAGAGGCCAGAATGTGGTTTTGAGCACATTGATCTAAAACTGAATATTGTGGTCTTGTTCTTCAAAAATCCTGGCCCCCCCAAAAGACGCCTACACAGCCAGTCTCATGTGATCCATCAGTATCTCAGGGGTGAGCACAAATGTGTGTTTCCTTACAGGTTCATGCAGAGTGTAGTGTCTTCCTTGTTAAATTACAGCCAATACTAATGGTACATACAGAAAACACATGCCTAGAGAGTATGACTGGATTAATCAAATAAGCCCTACCCCAGCTCCTTTTGAAGCATTCCTTTCAGTTGCTTTATTTGCCAAGGAATATATGAATAAGATTCCTGAAAATCCCCAGATGTATTTATTGTACTAAGGATGAATTTAATCATCCACGTTTCCACCTGAAAGAATTCCCATACTATTACAGGGCAAATTCTTCTCTACGGTTACCAGAAAAAAAGAATTTCTATTCCTCTACAATTTCTGTCTCATCTCAGAAATTAATTTTACTGTATTTCCTTTTCTCAAGCTCTCCTGTATTCCTAAATGGTCATTAGTGTTCTTTGGTTTTCTCCATTTCAAATTGGCCCTTGGGAATCAACGGAGAAAATGAAGAGCTGCTGCACATTGATTTTATGAACACAAATGTCCAGTAAGTGGCACTGCAGGACCAAGAATTCCAAACCCTGGATGATAAACAGTGCAGTCAGAGAGTAAAGGCAAGCGTGGGAGATGTCAAGACTTAATCTGTTCCATGAAAAAAGTGGTTGTAGAGCAGGTGGGGAATAATTTGGTGACATTCCTGAAGGTACAGTGCAAGAAACTACGGTGTATTCAGCTGCTGGCTCTGGAATATGGTGTCAGGAACTGGCCTTGGCACCAAGCTGGCCGTTATCAGGGGTTTGCCAGAAGAAACCAGCAACATTTCTGTGAACTCGATGGGAAGTGCCTTGGAAGGCTTAGTGCTGGGTTTTGCCATCAGGAGCAGAATGCTGGGCGAGGTGAACCGTGTACATACAGCATTTCCTGTGGTCTTCTGACGTAATGTACATTAATTTTATGTAGAAAATCCAAACCCCAGACTGGAAGGGACGTCAGTACAGTCTGGGAGAGTTCAAGGATTGTTTCTGTAAATGAGCCAGAGATGCCTGTGAGGCTGTGCCAGTATATCAAAAACCATCACCCAGTTTTTCCATTCTCAGTGGATAAGGAGTAAATTATTATCTTGGGAAATTTGATCAAACAGACAAGTAACACTACACTTTTTGGCAGTATAAATTGTAATAAGACTCTTATATAAGCTGAAAGAGTGTTCCTTACAAAATCACTTAAATGTTTTGGCTCCATCTGCAATATTTGAACTCAGCCCTAAGTTACTCATGCTATACTGTGCCAAGCTAAATTGATGTACACTCAATTTTCCTATTTCTATAGATGCATAGCTATATTGCATAAGAATGGAAGAGAATGAAGATGAAAAGCCAATCTGCATTTAAAAGGGACATAAAGCTATGTTTAAAGGGATAAACCAGCCTTTCAGGAGAATTAGGAAGCCATTTCCTCTATGATGTGGCTATTTTATAAATGGCTCTTATGGGATCGTTCGTGCCCTGAAGCATCTGTGCATCTGTGCCAGCTGCTGTTGGCAGCAAGACCCTTGACCAGATGAGGGATCTGGTATGTCAATATGCACCTGTGGGGGCAAGAAGAGGTGTAGGAATATCCCATAGGGCACATGGAACAGCCACAGGATCTTAAAACTGCTCTAACCAGACTTGACAATTTTTTCCGCAATGCTTTCCACTCCTGAGTTTCTCTAATGGCTTTATAGAATAGCAGTTAAAAATAGGAAGTCTCAGATGTTTATTCCTGCAGGCACACAGGATGGAACTTAGGATGCAGAAGCAGAAGACACACAAGGCGTTGCTTGCAGCAACACGAGCAAACAGGTGAGAACAAGGCGTGGCAGCACAACATATGACAAAACAAGATGCCACAGGACAATTTGGAATAGCACACAGCATGTCACCACATGCAGCAGCACAAACAGCATGGAACGACACTTGACACCGTGTCACAGCATGATAGATATACCTGAAAGGGATAGGAATGCCTAGAAAGTGGTGAGAGATTCATAGCAGCATGAAATTCCTCTAAAGGCAGGGAAAATGTCTAGAAAACCACATGAAAGTCGTACAAAACTGCAGGCAACTCCTGGAAAAACTGTGGGAAATTCTTAGAAAGCAAAACTGAATTCCTAGAAAGCTGTGGGAGGACTCCAGGAAAGCAAAATGTGAATTCTGAGAAGTTGGCTACAAATTCCCAGAAAGCTAGAGGGAATTTCTTATGAAATGAGGAATTGCTATAAAGCAATGAAGGAATCCTAGAAAGACATGCACAGTTCTTAGAAAGCTGTTGCAACTTTCTAAAGAGCAGAAGGGAGAACTTCTGGAAGCAGAAAGGAATTCCTATAAATAGAACACAATTACTAAAAAGCATCAAGGAAATTTCTAGAAAGTCATTAGGGATTTCTTGAAAGCATGTGGAAATTCCTAGAAAGAAAATGAAGTTTCCTGATAAGGGGAAAGAAATGCTTGGAAAGCAATGGGGATGTTTCCTAGAAGGCAGTAAGAAATTTTCTGAAAGCTGGGTGGAGATTCCTTGAAAGCTGTAGGGTATATTCCCAGAGATCACTAGGAAAATCCTACAAAGGCATGTGAAATTCCTAAGAAGATAGAATCATAGAAATCATTTATGTTGGAAAAGATCTTTACGATCATCAAGTCCAACTGTTCCCCCAGCATTCCCGAGACCACCATTAATCCACACCCCCAAGATCCATAGCTGTGTGTCTTTTAAATCCCTACAGGGATGGTGATTCCACCACTGCCCTGGGCAGCCTGTTCCGGGACTTGACAACCCTTTGGATGAAGAAATTTTTTCTAATAACTAATCTAAACTTCCCCTGGAGCAATTCGAGGCTATTGCTCCTGGTCCCAGTTGGGTCCCATCAGTTGCAGGCTCTGGTGGCTCTCTTGGCTCCCCTGAGGTTCCCCTGGTTGATGAAACTCCCTGTGCAACATGCTGGATTGTTCTGCTGGCACTGGGTGTGGAAAAATGCAAGAAAACAATGGAGAAATCCTGGTTGAGCTGTCCATAACTCCTAAAGACACGGGGAAAATTCTTAGAACTGAATGTTGAGAAAAGCATAGGAGAAAATCACTGTAAACAGTAGGGGGAAAAGTAAAACTAGAAAGTAGATAGGAACAGATCCTATAGCCTTTCCTGAAATGGAACTTTTATCTAGAAGACATCCCTGATTTTAGTGTCTTCTAAATGGAGGGGACAGGTTTGATGGACTGAGAAAAAAACAATGGATGCCTGTGTTGATGGAGCTGAGCCCTGATGGCAAAGCCCAGCCCTGGACAGCTGAGCTTTGCAGGAAGGGAGCAGGGAGAACTGGCTGGCTTGGAAGGCCCCTGACCTTGGGACAGATGTTGACAAATGGATGGTGAAACTCAGGGGAACATTTCCCGCCTGGGAAAGTACTGTCTGTTAGAGACTGTCTCAGCAACAGCTCTTTGCAACACAGGGCAGGGAAAAGCCAAGGGCATTGAGGTGGGAATGCAGAGCGAGATGTTATCCATGTTGTGGGGATGAAACAGTCCTGCCTGATGGGGTGGGACAGGCACGGAGGCTGGAACAGGATGACATATGCAGATGAGCTAGGGCGGAAGTGGATTTGGGTTTATATTGTAGTTTGGGGTAATCTGGTTGGATCAGTGGGTTTTTAAAAAGTTT